CTGGCTTCACCTAAGGCAGTGCTGGGAGAAGCAGCAGCTGACCTAAGGAATTTGGAATCAGACAAACCAAGAGGCAAGGTTCAGGTTGCATCCTTAAAAGAGTCAGAAAATATGATCGCTTCAGTGGCGAGTAAAGACGCTGAGTTAAAAGAACTAAGAAGTAATTATGCAAAACTTCAAGAGGAAACAGAAATGTTCAAGAAAGAGTTGAGAAAAATATCGGTTGAATTTGGTGATGGAAGAGAAGAAACAGTCAACTTAAACTCTTTGAGACAGCAGGAGCAGCACCAGGAGCAATGTAAGGGCAGCTTGTTGGAGGACATAAAGCAGCTACAGAAAAAGCTGAAAGGATATGAGGCTGAAGCTATAGACATTAAGACAGTGCTTGAACATGTGAATAAGGAGAAAGAAGCACTTCTTAAAAAAAGTGAAGAGGATTACAAGATGAGCGAGGAGAAACTGCAGAGGTTGAGACTTGAAGCTAAGAAGGAGGTTGCAGAAAAGAATGAGGAAATAGAAGGATTGCGTTGTTCACTTATGGATTTCAAAGATAAACTTGATCAGGAAAAGGAATTATTAAACAAAGCTATAAAGGAGGGCCAAGAAGAAGCCCACCATTACAAAACAGCATTTGAAGGAATGAAGAGTGAAAAAGAGAAGCTTCTCAGTTGTGTAGAGAAGTCCAATTTGGAACTAATTAATATGAAAAAGGAGGTAAAACATTTCAGTGAAGAAAACAAAAAACTTCTGACAGAGCTATGCATGCTACATGAGAAGGCTGAGATGAGTAGACCTGTGGTGTCATGCAAAGAGCTTAAGGAAGAAAATGATACTGAAAAAGAATTGGGAGAGTTTTGTTCAGAACATAATTTGCTGCAAGGAACATTACAAGGTAAAGGCACCCGCTTTCAACTCTCGGAGACTGATTACTCCAGGAGAACTAAACTGAGAGAAGCAACAGAATGTCAAAGCCAGAAACAAATGCAAATGGTTGAAGAGCCGCTGGCAAAAACTGCAAATGTAAATGATTCTAAACCACAAGAGCCAAGAACTATAGCAGAAGAGAATTCCAGGGAGCGTCTTCAAAGAAAATTACAGGCGGCTTTAATATCACGTAAAGAAGCCCTGAGAGAAAATAAATGTCTCAAAGACCAGATCGATAAGCTGATGTTGGAAAGAGAAGAACTGGTGAACAAGACAGGTATGCTTGAACACTTGTTAGAGCTTGGTAGAGGAGAACAAAGTTCAAGTACAGTTTCTCCATTGTCTGAAGAGGAGAGCCTTGTTTCTGAAAATGCTAGACTGTTGACTGAAAACAAAAACCTCACCGCGGCATGTGAAAGTCTTAAATCCACCATGGAGACTATAGTTCAGGAAAAAGAGGCCTTTTCTTTCCAGCTAAATACCTTAAAAGATTCTCAGACAGTTGAATTAACAGGATGGAAGGCTAAACATAGTGAATTAAAGCAGGAGTATGAATCACTTCTTCAGGCGTATGAGAATATCAGTAGTAAAATAGCAGATATGAGGCAAGTTATTGATCTCAGTAGAAAAGAGAAGCAAGAGGCTATTCAAAGACTCAGGGAAGGAGAATCTGAGAAGGAGGCTCTTGAGAAGCATTTACAAAAACTCATTGATGAAAATGAGGTTATTAAGAATCAACTGAAACAACTTGGAGAATCCAAGAAAATGGAAGTTGACGAATTACAAAGTAAAGCAGAAAGGCAGATATGTGAGCAAGAGGCAAGGATGCAAGAACACCAGGATCGTCTTCGTGAACTCACTGAACAGAATCATCAGCTAATGGAGGAAAATGAGCAGCTGAAACAAACTTCTGAAAATTTAAAGCAGGCTTTAGAGAAAATTCAGAACGAAAATGATATTCTTCATAATAACATCACTGTAACTAAAGCAGCTTTGGGAGAGCTGCAAGTTCAAATGGAAGTGTACCAAAATGATATGCAATCTAAAATCAATGATGCATTATGTGAGAACGAATCATTGCTAAAGGACATTAATGTGTTAAAGGATAAACTCTCTGAAAAAGAACACGATGTGCTCATCCTCAAACAAGAAAGAAAATTGATTTCAGAAAAAGTGAAAGAAACTGAAAAATCTTTGGATCATAAAAATCATTGTCTAACAAAGCTGGACACGGAATGTAAAAGCCTTACACAAGAGATTGTTAGTCTAAATGAAAAAGTTAAGATTTTGGAGGATGATAAATGTCTGTTACAGGAAGAATTAGAAAATGTACAAGAAAGTTCTTACAAAGTAAAGAATGAGAGAGAATTTCTTGAGACAGAATTGCTTAATCATGTTAAAAAAGTTGATCATCTTACTGACAGAGTGAAATCAGCCCAGGTACAGAATGCCTTGCTGTTACAGCAGCTGGAAGAATTACAGGCAGAAAAATCTAACGTGATTAGAGAAAAAGAAGAACAGCAGTTACATCTTGTAAAAATGTTTGAGGAGAAAGTAAAAAGTGCTCAGAGGGATAATAATGGAAGTAAAACCAAAACGAAAGAATTGCAAGAACTCTTAAAGGAGAAACAGCAGGAGATCAACCATTTGCAAAAGGATTCTATAAAGTTCCAGGAGCTGATCCTGGATTTGGAAAGATCTGTGAAACTGTCACAGTCAAAAAGTGAAAAATTTGAAAAGGACTTAAGTAATATGTCAGAAAAGCTTGTGAAGTCACATGAAGAAATATGTCATCTCAAGGGAGAGCTTTCTTCACAGATGAACTTGTTGGATCAGTCAAAGAATGAAGTGGACAGGCTTACAGATGAGAATCTAAATTGGAGAAAAGAACTTAAGAAGAAAGAAGACGAACTACAAATTCAAAAGAGAGAATACAAGAGAGAATTGGAATTTAATCTTCAACAATTAAAATTGGCTCACAAAAGAGAATTTGTGAACCTAGAGGAAAGACACAGTGCTCTTGAGAGAGAAAAAGATAGGGCCATTAGTGAGATTCGTGGTTTGCAAGAGGAAGTTGGCATTAAGGACTCTCAAAACAAGAAACTTCAAGCAGATTTGAATGCAGCTTTGGCACGATTAGCTGCTTTTACAAAGTGTATGTCCTCTCTTCAGGATGACCGGGACAGGGTAATCACTGAAATGAAAACCTGGGAATTGCAGTTCAAAGAGGCCATCCAGAATAAAGAGAAGCAGATAGAAGACAGTAATAAAAGAATAATGTCTTTACAAGATGAATTGAAAGACAAAATTACTCAGATTCAAGAACTGAATATCAAATATTCCGCGGTAGAGGAAACAAAGGATGAACTATATTTGAGGCAAAAATCTGTTGATGTGCAACGCTATGAAGAGCTCTGCAGAATAAAGGAAGAAAATACAGTTTTTTTTAACAGGCAGCAAGAATTGGAGAGTGTTCTTCAGTCCAAAGAAGAAGCTTTGCAAGCACTCCTTAAAGAAAATAATTCTCTTAATCATCTCATAGAGAATAGTAAAAGTGCAGGAAGAGAGATAAAAGCTCTGGAAAGTAATTTTACAAGACAGGAACAAGAATTGCAACAGCTTCTAGCTGAGAAGGAAAAAATTAATGCTGAATTGCAAAAGCAGATTACCATTTCTGAGCAAATGAAGGTCATGCTAAATAATAAAGACAAAGAAATTTCCTTACTCATTTCTTCAAAAGGTGATGAAATTTCTGACTATCTGATTCAGGTACAGACTCAACATAGAAAACAAATCAAAGATTATGAACTTCAGTTAAAGTCTTTGCAGATAGAGAGACAACAATCCAAGGAGTCCTGTCAGAGGATGGAAAATGAATTGAAAAGTCTCCAGATGAAAGCAGACAAAGCAGGTCAAGATAAGGCTGCAATTGCCAGTGAAATAGATGCCTTTAAAAAATCAATGTCGTCTCTTCAGAATGATCGGGATGATCTTTTTTCTAAATACAAAGAGCTGGAACATCTTCACCAAGATGTCCTACATCAGCGGGACAGTCTTATAGTTGGCAATGCAAGTGAGAATAACGCTTTGAAACAAGAATTAAGGATACTTCTCAATCAGATAGATGATCTTCATTCTGAAAATGCAATGCTAAGTGCACAGCTGATAAAATATAGGGAAGATCTTAACCAAGTTTTATCGCTGAAAGACCATCAGCTGAAAGACTTACTTAAGCAGAAATTGGATTGTATTAAAAGCCTTGAACAAGAAAAATATGATCTTCAAAAACAAATAAAAGAAATGCAACTTTCCAATGAACTGCAGAAGGATACTGCTGTATCTTTGGAACATGAAAATAAAAAATTAGTGTCTAAAGTAAGTGATTTAGAATCTCTAATTGCATCATTAAACAAAGAGAAACTTGTTTCTGAATCTGGAGAGAAGCTGCTAACTAGTGATAGCGTTCAGAAAAAAGAATTTGTATCAAATGGACAGTATGGAGAAAATCTTCAGAAGAAGATGCAAGAACTCCAGAAATCAAGAGGCAGAAATACTAAGGATGCAGATGAGGAATACACTGAGGCTCTTTCGACACTTGAACGTGGAGATGAACCTGATGCTTTTGCAGAGAAGATGGTATTAGAAGTTCAGTCTCAAAATAGTGAGCTGAGGTCCCAAAATGAGGCCTTTGGGAAAGCAATGACTGCTCTGCAAAATGATAGAGATAGGATAATAGAGGACTTCAAGGTACTTCAGAGCAAATACACATCTGAACTCAGGACTGAAAAAAAGAAAGGAGATGAACTTGAAGCTGAATTGGGTGGCTTTAAATTGCATCTTATCAGTATGCTCAAAGAAAATTCTCTTCTGAACCGGGCTGGTTTTGATGCTGCGAATAAGGTTACACTTGATCAGATTGCTGATGAAATTGAAAATCTCTGTAGGACGTTAGTCAGTCGAGAGATGGAGGTTAGCAGGCTCTCATCTGAGTGTGGGAGTTATGTTCACCAGATTGAAGCGTTTTCCAAGGCTATGGCCAGTCTTCAGGATGACCGAGACAAATTGCTGCAGGAACTCAGCAATCAGAAGGTAACTTCTGAAACAAAACAGGGCACAGCTTCATTTCCCATTAGCTGCAACAGCATCAATGAGACAAATTCTTTTAAAAGTAATTTGGATACACCTCAGAACAATAGGGGAAGATTGGTAAGTTTTTAATTAGCTACATCACTTTGTAATTTTTTTTTTTATGCAGAGAAGGCTTAGAGGCATTATGGATTCTGAAGTTTAACTTTGCAAATTATGTGAGTGCCAAGAAAACATTGTGTGACTAGAGAAGGCGTGCTTACAATTTTGGGACTTTCGGTAATTATCCTGTTAAACAGGAACAAATGGGGGAAAAACATTATTCTGTAATTAGAATCCTAGCACTAATAAATCTTCAACCATATAGTTTTCATTCCAGTTCACTAATCATGTTTATTAAATGTAGGCTAAAGAAGGAGCCAGTCTTGCAGCTGTTGAAATATCAAAACTGAAGACCAAGGTTGATGACTTGGAGAAGGCATTGCATCAGACAAAAGCCTTCCAAGCAGAAACTGAGAGAGAGATTGCATCATACCAGAATGAGCTTGCTGGATTAAGGTATAAATGTTAAAATTAACAAATAGTACATGTGGCTCTTGTTTAGCATTCTTCAGTGACTTCAGAACCTGACATAAAACTGACACAAAACCAAAATTACGTATAGTTTAGCAGGAAGTAGGATAAGAATATTTCTGTAATGTGCAAAATCAGCTTCCACAGAGTTGTCTTTGTTCGTGGTTATCCTTCTATCTTTAGGTAATGGTCTCTTTGTTTATGTAAAGTTTCAGGCAGTTGTAATTGAATGTTTTCTGTTCTGTTGGTGACTTGGATATACGGAACTACAGTTTAAGAATCTTATTTCAATGCTTGGTATTATATTCTCTTCTTAGAATAATGATTGATGCAGCTGAACATTTCCCTCTAAATCTCTCTTTTTTTTAAAATATGTGTGAGGTGGTGTGTACTTGGCCCAACTACATGTTGAAAATTAACTTCATTTTGCATTTGAGCATTATTTTTGTAGATTCAAGGGTCCGCTTCAGTACTGTTCACATCTTGCATTATCTGTGACAACTGAGTAATGTGACACCTTGGGCCTAATTTGGTGAATGCCTCATGAGGTCTGCTTCAAAGAAGGCAGTAGGCATTTTTAAGTGGCACTCGGTGGAGGCAGATCAAGATTTGGTCATCTTAGACTGCTGTTCTCATTCAAGCTTTTAAACTTGTGCAGATGAGTGAAGTGCAAAAGCATGCTATGATCAGTTCAGTGAAGATAATTTTGTTTGAATTTGAGGCCAGCAGGCAGTATCCTAGTGCCTTACTTGCGTTTTATTATCCGTAGTGCAACTTCTAGATCTCTAATTAAAGTCTGTAAGATAATCTGTTTTATAGTGGAAGCTCTTGGGGGAGGAGGTGTAGATCAAAAGGTCAGCCCCATGTTTATCTTGGCGAATGTGAGCAAGTTAGCATGAAGTATTCAAACCTCATTCTAACTTGTAGACTTAACCAGTGAACAGCATGAATAGTCTTTTTCCATTTTTTCCCCAAACTTTAAAAACATATATTGAATTGAATTCAAAAGGATTTAAATTACTTTTATGCTCTTTGTGATATTGCCTGTGTACGACAGCAGTTTCTGGAGATGTGGCGTGTTTGTTTATTTCAGTCTTGAGCCTAGGGTATTCCTTTTCAAACTTGCGTACTTGCAGTAGGGTAGACTGGCTACCTTGAGCAGCACTCGACACAACTGTGACCTAGGGTTGCTTTGCTGCGCAACCTTATTTTTCAGGGAGCTGAAGTATGTACTGCATTAACAGATGTTAATATCTTTACAGCCAATGAACTTCTCTCATCTCCAAGCCAACAAAGCAAATGTGATATTATCACTTTCAAGGCTTTATTTTCTGATTTTTTTTTTTCAGCAGATGTCTTTAAACTGAAGTATGTATTAAGAACGTTCATATAGTGCTCCATATTTGTATATAACTGTTCAAAAAATACCATTATTTAGTTCAGAACTAACAGTGAGTACAGCTTTATCCTTATCATTCACTAGTATGTAGTATATTATCATTTAATGTCTAGTCTAATATTTTATGTTCAGAATGGAAAACAACCTCCTCCTCTCAGAGTCCCAGGCACTGCGAAATCAATGTCAAATCACAGTTGCTGAGAAAGACCGACAGATCGCAGAGCTACAGAAGCTGCAACAAGACATGATTGTTAAGAAATCGGTCTCCGCTGGCAGCAATTATCCAGTCAAGGTAAACAAATGAAATGTAACAGGAGGCGTGAATCTACTTCCATCAGTTTATTGTATTAAATTTGCAGCCTGCTTCCCAAATGAGACCTACACAGCATATGATAGTGAAGTATGGAAGGCCAATGAGTGCATTACCTGTATGTCAGTGTTGCCTGGGGTCAAATCAGCAAGTTACAGCTATTCCAAGCAAATGGGTTGCAATTATTAAGAACACTTTTTAATGGAGTCTGATATATTGATCAACAACTTTTAAACAAAGAAAAAGAATGAGTTTCTCGTATGCTGATAAAATAACAGAGGAAGACGTGCTGGTGTGGTGTATTTTAATGGTTAGCATGGAAAGCACCTTCATAAAGAAATGAAATAGTTGTGAAGCAAAAGGTGAAAGTCATGAACCAATAGTGGTTGCTGATTCCTAGTCAAACAGGAGTAACAATTTGCTGTGGTTACATTGTAAGGTAATGGTATTTGCTCGTTGCTGAGTTGCTAATGTTAGTAGATTACTTAAGTAATCTTGCAAATTACTATTTTAGATCAGTTAAATCCAGAATGGAATATGAATAAGTTTAAAAAAAAAAAAAAAAATGTGGTTCAGAAATTTTCAAACAGAAAACGGGGGGGTTTTAAAATTACTATTTTAGATCAGTTAAATCCAGAATGGAATATGAATAAGTTTAAAAAAAAAAAAAAAAATGTGGTTCAGACATTGTTCAACAGCAGACCGGGTGCTGTTAAATAGAGACACGTACTGGAAAGAGGAAAAAGAGCTAGTGCGATTTACAGGTTTCTCAGTTAATTCTTTCAAATCAAAAAGAGGATAGGGAACTTTCAGGGAGCTCAAGAAGGAATTCTTCTCATGTAGTAGGTGAGATGAAACCTGTCTGTAAGTGGGAATATAATTCTGGCTTCTTGTGCCAGTTTCCTTCTGTCATGAGTCTCTTGCTGTTCACACTGTTACAACACCAGTGGTGTTACTTGTTCCTGTAGCACACTTGTTCAAAAGAGACTGGGATGCTGTACTATTACTTGTAGGACGCAAACAATGCATTTCTTGTCACTGAGTCCTTGCGTGCTGATTGACGTAATCGCCTGCCAGACAGCCTGTACTATGGCTGTGTTCTACCTATTGCTTTTTCTCTCCATAGGTAATAGCAAGTTGGATCTGTCTCCCTCAGTTCAGTGATTATTACACTAAGTATAGAAGCATCGTAATTTTTTGAGACATGAACCTTCTTTTAAAATCCAGTTTTAGAATTGGCTAGTTGATGCAAATAATATCGGGAGAACAGATAGACAAACAAGATGACTTGCATATATTGTATTTTTAGAAAACCAGTCTACATCAAGTAAGATATTTGAATGTTGAAGAAATGGTACCAAAGGTGGCACAGAAAACGTAATTCTCGAGTGTAAATAATTTGGAGTACATTTCACCTCAGCTTCACAGGAGTATTACATTGCAATACAAAAAGAAGTTTCAAAGGCGGGAGGTAGAAAGCATGATGTAGAAAAAATTCTAAGATCATTCAGAAAAGATTGGGATTGTTTACATTAAGGAAAGAAATAAATGAGAGGAAAAAACCCCAACCTAATAGTACTGTGGGATGTAGATGAAATAAGAATCTACGCTCTCACTGCTTGTAAACCCAGAATAGGGGACATTCGGTCACAAATACAAAACTAGTAAAAGGGTGTGCCCTTTCAGGTAATGCGAACATTTTTTCAGATATATTATAGCTGCAACCTATTTTCAGGGACACAGTTTTTAAGAGGATCAAAAAAGAGCTTGGTAGTTTCCATTGACAACAGTATTCAGAATTTGTATACTTGATGCTACCAAATTGTAAAGATCTAATAACGTTCGTTCATCAGAGCCTAAATCAATCTCTAATTACTGTAGATTACAATAGGTCCTAACTGGGGGAGAAGGGAGAGATGTGCCTAATGGAAATGTTCTTACCCTTCCCCTGAAGCAGCTGGAGTTGGCTTCTGCCACGAACAAAATACTAGATTTAGAAAGGCAGCAGCTGAGACCCGGTCTGGCAATTGCTGTCTACTTTTGTAGACTATCACTAAATGTTCAAGGAAAGTGTTATTTTAGAATAATATTCTTATTTGCCTTTTCTGTGCCAAAGGAAGTGAACTGTATTCCTTTTAATTTCATTAAAAACAACTTTTTAGTTGGTCAGGTTTGTGTCTCATATGCTGTTCCCTTTCTGTGATTAAAATAATGAATAAAAGCTGTTGAACAGTAATGTCTGTTGGATTATGGAATATTGCATGTGGTAGAAGTCTTTATGTCATGATTTAATAGGAAAACAAATTCCATAAAGCATTAGAGATGGCACACTTGCCTCCCTTATTGGAGATTAACATCAAAACGTTGACCTGCCAGAGATAAAGGCGGCCAAAGCTGTGAATCAGTGATAAAGTTGGGTTGTTTGTTGTTTTGTTTTTTTTTTTTTCCTCCAAAATGGACTTTCAGCTTTAAATTCATATTTACAAAATAGCTGTTCTTTTACAAGTCGTGAATACCATACATTATTAGTCTGAAAATAATTTTTGAAAAGTGTTTTATATTCATCTGGCTTTTAATATTTTTTCCTTTTTTTGTCTGTGCTTCACACTATTTGCAAATTAAAAATTAAGTTGAGTTACCTTTTCATGGTAATTTTTAATTGTTTTTTTTTTTATTTTAATGGAAGCATTTAGGTTGAAAACACTAAGTAGAAGGGTTTTTTTTGTATAAGGTCTCTCGCAAATGTGGTATTAACTTGTGAGAAGGAAATGATCTTGTGAAAAGGAAATTATTATGTAGTCCGTATGTGTATTTAGTGTTGGAGTTGTATATTATTTAGAGAACTGCTATACTGTTTACCCTGAATATGCTAATACTTTTTAAGGGTTTAGAAACTGCCTCCCTCGCTGGAAGTGCAGACACGCCGGAGGAAATCAAACATGTCTTAGCTGAGAAGAATCAGCTTCAAAATGAACTGCAGCGCTGCCTTCAGGAGATACACCAGAAGGATCTGCATTTCCAGCAGATGAATTCAAAGGTAACTTAGAACAACAGCTGTGATCCTAAATAGCTCACGCGACTCTGAGCTGGTATCAACATAGAAATATTGCTAAATTGGCGGTGTCTTGTATAATAGTGAGAGTGCTTTAAAACTTAGATTCTTCAAAACAACCCTGTTGGCTCAGACTAGAAATTGCAAACTAAATGTCAGTGTTATCTTTCTGTCAGGCTTTCTTGACTTATTTGACAGAGAGAGGTTTATTTGAATCTGCATTCTGAAGAGATTGATGGGGCACTGCTGAACTTGTACTCAAAGTAAAATGTTTTTCATTATAGACAGAAAGAGATGTCTGTCTTAGCTGGAACAAGATTTTAGCTATCTCATACCAAATTTTAAATACCTCAAAAATGTGCCCTTACAATTTCTTGATGAACCCTTTTATGGCTGTTAAGATGGTAAGTGTGTGTGTGTGTGTGTGTGTGTGTTCAGTTTTGTTTGCAAAAGTTTGTAAACGTTCCTGCAAATTCCCTTAACACTTCTCTCTCTGTGTGGCCTGGTCGTTGAAGCAAATTAGGTTTATGTTATCTTTCATCTGTCATTGTGTCTGTTTTCGCTCCTTCACCCAAACATTTTATAAACCTTGTAACAGTTTTAACCAAACTTTGAAACAGGTGTAGAAATCTCCAGCTCCTACAAGTGAAGATGAGTGTTTGGGTAATGGGTGGAGACTGGACTGCTGCGCACTCCTGGGCTGCCTGCTGAACATGTTTATGTTATTAGGCTTATTTGGCTATGTGCATTGTCCTGAAGTAGCAACTACGTATACTATCTTTTGCCAGGTGGTGATATCATAGCAAACATGGGGAGGAAGGCACTGGGGTTTAAAACCCTGAGTTTCTGATTTGGGCATATTGATGACAAGGGAAATCAGTCCTCGGGTTTCATTATTTCCACTGCTCATAAAACAACTAGTTAAATCTTACCAAACTGTGAGCTTGCCGAAAAGTTGATGCAGTTTTGAAACTAGTACTCAATTGTTTTCAACAGCAGGTCTCAAATCTGTAGTAATTTCCTCAAGGAGGTAATTCCTAATTTTTATTTATTTAAATGTTAATTTCTTTCAGGTTGTGCAGTCAGCAGAAGAGAATGCCGTCTTGTCTGCCCAGTTGAAGACTCTTTCGCAGACTCTGAGGGATAACCAGCTTCGTTACACTGACTTGCAAAATCGTTATTTAAGACTGGAGAGGGAATATCAGACCATGCAAGTGACTTCTTTCCAAGGCACTGTTCAGGTAAACAAATACATAGAAATGTCTTTAGGTTTTTTTGGTCTTCTGTGCTTAGACTTTTTGGATTTTCATGCTAAAAATGAAGTAAATACTTCTTGTTGTACTGATTCAGTACTTTTACTAGCCCATGATGCGCTGAAGATAACTGTCTTTATTGTTGTAAAGCTGTTTGTATTTGACTTTTCATTTAAGGAAGCTGTTTATACGTGCTTTTTTTGTTTTGAAGTCTCATCTTGAGTTGGTCTACAGCTGGCAGGGATAATTGGATGATCACTAATCACTGGGTCAGCAAAGTTTAGTGATAATTTCACAGCAGTCATGAATCATTTTGCAAGGTGTTTGAGTAATATTTTCAGACGTGAGATCTATATCACCAGTTCAGCATTTCAGTACCCCTTGCCAACCCCTCATATACATCTGTAAGCATATTTCTTTGTGATTTCTTCATTTTTCAAAAGTTTTCCTGTACTGCCTTGGTTATTCAGTAACGATCAATTAATACAAGACCCTAAAATATCATATGGATACATATATAAAACAACCCTTACTTTTCCATAAATAGAAATAACACAAACAAGGAGAACTATAAACTACAAAATAAATTAATCCCCTGCTTCTTATCTCGCAGCCCATTTGCATTCTACCTCTTTCACATATTGATTGCAAAGCACAGGGCTGCTTAACCACAGTTCCCAGTGCTTCTG